CGCGCACGCCATTGCGCGCGCCCAGTCCACGCCGCCCTTACCTTGTGCGTGTGTGCACGCCTGTCCTATGCCCCTGCGGACTAGGACGTTTGCGCTTCTGCCCCACTCGCGCGCCCTTGTGTGCGCCTCGCTTCTGCCATCCGTGCCTCGCGCGTCTTCGTTATCCGCTCGAGCGCCGTGCACTCCTACTCCTACCCGATCAAGGCCTTCGCCCGCGTCGCCCCACGCGTCGCTGCCCGCGCATAATGCACGCTTACGCCCTAACCGCCGCGCGTCCCAGCAAGTTCTGCGCCTGCGTACCCCTCGCACAACCCGTGTGTGTGGCTTGTCCGCCCATTCATGCGCATCAAGGGTCGATGCGCACCTTTTATACTTTAGCCCCTCGCTAGACTTGTCGGTTCTGGTCTCCACTTCCGTATCAGGCGAGGACGCGTGGGGCAGGGACGACGGTGGTGGAGTGCGCTTGGGCGCGCGAGTGGGAAGCAGGCGCGAGCGGTGGCCTCGTCCGAGCAGGCATAGGAGTAGCGGGCGTAAGCGATCACGCGTAGGAGTTAGGCGGTGGGCGTGCAGCGCAAGGTAGCGGGGCGCGTGCTGGGCAGGCGAGCGAAAGCCTAGTCCACGCGGGACTAGGCAAGACAAGCAGTGAGGCGCGCGCGGGTGAAGCCGCGCACGACAAGGACTACGAAAGCCGATGGGCGGTGCGCACAAAGGCGGTGCGATGAGGCGGCCGAGAGCTTTTTTGCAAATGACTTGGAGCTCAAGAATTTGGATTGGATTGCAAGTCAAGCAAGAATAAATTTAGTAGTAGTAGGATTTTATTTCCTTATTGCTATAAATTATAGAATACGGAGATCTAGTTTGGTTAGGCTTAGATATACTTTATGCACCTATAAATACCCATGTACCTCTTCATTATTAGAGGTCCAAAAAATTAATGAGTGAATAGAAAGGGGAACATTGTGCTCTTTCGTGTGTTTAAACAAGGCCGTTAGTGCATGTTTATCATACAAATCGTGTCGGAGAGAAGGCCCTGAGAGCGTCTTGAAGTCACATGTGTCTAGGAGAAGGTCGTAGTGCGTATGTTAGTCACACCTATTGTGTGTAGTCGATTGCCGTGAGTGCGCGATTACTCATAATAGAATAGACAAGAACTGCGATCACCGATTCCCTCATCAAGCTGGTGCTTGGGAGTGCGCAGTAGGTGAGCAGGCCACGAGAGTTGGCTGGGACGCGCGGGCGTCGGGCAGCAAGGACGCGGAGCGCGCTGATGAAGATCGCGTGTCCCGACTGTCGATAAGCCGCTTGCCCGCGCCTTGAATCTCCGATAGGTGCTTCTCGAGCCACAACCGCGCCTCTTGAAACGAATAAAATTGCAATAGATTCTTGGTGGAAAACTAAAGCAAAGTATTTGAACAAAAGTTCAG